GATGCAAGCGATATGGTTCCGAGCGGCCGACCACCTGACAACTCTCGACCGACTAATAGCACACGACCACCAGTCAAGCACTTGACGCCCGAGGAAATAAAACGCCGACGCGAGAAGGGACTCTGTTTTAAGTGCGACGAGAAGTTTACTCCTGGCCATCATTGCAAGCAGGCTTTTGTCATCCACGTCATCGATGATGAAGAGCCCGAGATCGAGAAGGATTGGGAGCAAGAAGTCGAGATTGAGGTTCCCGAAGAGGAGGCCAAAATCTCGATGCATGCGATGGCTGGTATAAGAGGACCGACGACGATGCGGCTGCCGGCGTTGGTCAAGGACCGTCGTGTAGTCGTGCTAGTAGACAATGGATCGTCGCACAACTTCATCAACGCCGATCTATCTCGAAAGTTGAAGTTACCAACGACGAAGGTCGAACCATTTGAGGTCCGAGTAGCCAATGGAGAACAGCTAAAGTGCTCGGAGGCTTACCGTGCGATACCGATTAAATTTCAAGGAGTCACCATCAAAGCCGATCTCTATGTGCTACCCTTGGTTGGACCCGACGTTGTGTTAGGAGTACAATGGCTAGAAGGTTTAGGAAAGGTGACCACCGACTACCGGATGGGAGTCATGGAGTTTGACTCAGGAGAGCACCGGGTCACGTTAAAGCAAGCAAAGATAGCAGATCCAAGGAGTTTGGCCTCAAGAGTATTGAGCGGGTTTGGCATATGGGCGGCCAGATTTTCGCCGTCGAGGAGGCAAGCGCACATGCAGGCACGGTCGAGTCAGTCAAGAACAAGGAGCTCCCTCTGTTCGACAACTACTTCGAAGAGGACGAGCAAGTCTCGACAGAAGATGATGGCCCACCTATTTTTGACGTATACCCCGAGGATGAACTCATGGACGTCGAAGTAATTGAAGAAGACGAGGTCGATGAAACTGGGGTCAAAGGCGATGCGCACGAGGTTTGCACAACTGAACAACAATCCGAGGTAGGCAAGCTGGATGGAGCAACCGACCACAAATTAGGCGAGTCCGACAGAGGAGAAGGCCAGATCGACGGAAAGTGTAAGGAGTCCATCTTCCCATCTGAATTCTCGAAATATTTTTCAACGGTCATGAAGTACGAGTACGAGATGACAGACTATGAAGGACCGTCTATATTCGATGAATACCCCAACGACTTTGTCGAAGATGAAGGAACTTTGGTTGAGTCTAAAGGAGATGAAGTGGCCGGCGAGGTTCAGAAAGAGAATGAAGAAGGTGTGCTGGAGATTTCAGTGGTTGAGGAAGAAATTGCGCACGTAGTGTACGAGGTGAGAACGCCCCAATTAATGGTCGATGACAAGTCCTTGAGGACAAGGACATTCTTAAAGGGGGCGGGAATG